AAAATTGCAAGTACAAAAATAAGGACGGCCTTTGGTGGGAAGGTAACAGCATTCCATGTGCCTTTGTCATTTAGTCATGCTGTCCACATGACCACGTAGACCTCTTCAGACAGCCCTGGCTCTTCAGCTTTGAAACGGAGTTGAGCACCACCCCCTAGAGTCAGAAATGACTAACACATATGTGCAAGGGGAACCTTTACCTTTACCTTTAAGATAGATTTTTAAAAAACCCCAATGTAAATAATAAATACATCCCATCTGTAAAAATGAGGAGTATTTGGGCAATAATTGTGTCTTTATTACTTTAAGTGCAACTTAATTAAAATCCTAGTGGATTGGGCCCCAAATTAATTAGCAAGAGACCTACCACTTTAATATTTAGGCAGCAATCCCAAATGAGCTCTGAGCAGAGGCTGTAGGAAGGGAAGCAAAGCTGAAGAGATGTAGCGAAAGAATCAAACCCAACCAGCATTTTGTTGTGTAGTCTTGAAATTATGAAAGTGATTAAGGAAACTCTTCATAAAGTCAATCACTTTTTAATTTGACATAAATCCTGTGTATCAGCAAAACATCAAAGACAACTTCAATAATTTTCTTATACCTTGCAATGAATTATATCCATATTCCTAACCTATATCCTTGTACATGTACGACATTAAAGCAAGATTTCTATAATTATATATTTCTGAATGTATTATTTTATTGACAGGATGCATATATGAGCAAAACAAAGTTTACACACAACAATAGCAATGTGTTAACCCAGAAACAAGAAAAATACCGGTGTGAATCTAGCTTGTCTATCTCTATTGTATGATTTCACCAGAAAATAATTATTTAATAGATAGAGGGAACAGCAGGCAAGATCCTTAAGCAAACCATCTATTTTACTTATCATTAAGTCTACATGCTAGACAGTGAAATACCGTAATAAAAAAGTAACTGATGTTCAAATGGTAAAATTTATCAACCACAAATGTACCCTATAGTTTCTACATATCTGCCTAGAATTCTGCAATGGGAAGTAGTGCAAAGAACTTTCCAGAATAGCATTAAACATTGCTCAACCATAGGGTCAATTCAAAGTATTCTAAAGGGGGGGGGGGCGAATGGCAACAAATGCTTTAATGTCAAACACAGGGTGAGTCCTGATGAAAATATTCCATTTGAAACTGGAGACGGAGCAACATGTTTCAATCAAGGCATCAACACAAATATTTTGAAACAGTGATAAGAATTGTATTGCAGTCTTCTTTCTTGCAAGGAAAATCTTCTTTCCCACGCACTCTCATTTACTGAGCTTCTTTAGTGGACAAAATGTTAAACCAAAATAAGCACACACACACAATCTTGGATGCTGCAAAGCAAGGGAGTTGGGGAGGGGGGTACTGAAATGGACATAGAGCCCTATGTCTGTCAGATTTACAAAAAGGCCCTGGAAAAAGTTCAAGATGACTAAGTCTAGACCCAACCTATAACCAGTGTTTGTTTCAGAATTCACATCCCTAGGTTTTACCTCATCACAAAGGCTTGTACCTCAAAGGAGAACCTCTATTATCTCTTTATTCCCAGTTTCTCAGCCACTTGTCCCTCTTCAAAATCAGAGCCTTTCCTTCTTTTTTTATGGTGGAATTGTTGTGCTAGTGCTATTTTCAATTATGCACTAAATTGTATTTTTAACCTTGCTATGTCATGATCTAGAAGCCCAGCATGTGAGAAGCAATTAGATTCTAACCCACTGATCACTTTTTGGCAACCACCATCTGGAAGTATGCTACTGTGCAAATTCTGTGTTAGGAATAAATCTAAAATTCACCAGGAAGAGGAAGGTTCTTTCAAAATTAAAACATGAAAATATCTAAACACAAAGGGTGGGGAAAACTAAACTAGTTCATCCTATACATGCCTGTCATAGCTTCATGGGAGTTCCGCATTTGAAGTTCAACAAGGTATGCTTCTGAGTAAGCCTGTCCAAAGTGCAACTACCTAAACCATAACAAGATTGCTGCTCTAGAGGCACCTTGCTTCATTGTAATACCTGTATAGGTGCAAAAAAGGGGAAGTAAAAGCAATTTTGTCCACAAAAATGTCCTGATATGCTGGATTGTGGGAAGGGATATGATAGAAACTGGAATTTAGCCAGATAAATCAGGCGAGCATAAGTTAGAAGAGAGTAACTGTCTTTCATTTTTTTGGCAAAGCAACTGGGGGGGGGGGTTGGAATCTAAATTTCTAGGCCACCTACACAGCTGAATTTCAGACAGAATGAGTGGAACTTAAAGGATAGCAAGTTAAACTGCCAATTTTAAAATCCACAACTGGGTTATTAACATGCTATCTTAGGTGTGGGCATAAAATATTCAAAGTAAGCACAAAGATTGATTTTGTAGTATGTGAACCCTAGCCAGAGGATGGTTATCTCCCCTTTATTGGCTAATTAAACTGACAAGCCAATGAAATACCTTCCCATACAAACTGCAGGTGTCACAATCTCATGCCTGGAAAGAGTCACTAGGAGAACGAACTGCAGAGCAAAAAAAACCCAAAGACAAAAACTACCCGGTTCCAAAGCAAATAAACCCAGTGAGAGTGAGTCACAAACGAGGAGTACAGAGCCCAGTTCCCTTCAGCAAAATAAGAGAAGCGCTTTATGAGCTCGTTTTAAACCTTCGCCTTCCTCCCCCCCCTCAAACGCCAAGACCCCCCCCCACCTGCCTTCAATCTCAGAGTGTGTCAAAACAGAGATCTCAAGTCCAAGTGGGCTGAAATGCCGCTCAAACCAATGACTCCCACCAGCAGGAATGAATGGGAGCCGAGTGAAAAGGGGTTTTTTGTGTAATTCTATAACTCGGGCGGATCGCAAAGGCATGATAAAATCAGCTTGGTATTCTGAAAGTAATCACACAGACACAAACTCCAGGAGGGAGAAGGGGGGGAAACACCCTTTCTTCCACAGGTCTGAAAAGGAACCGAAAAACTTCTTGCCATCCCCAATTCCTTCAACCCAACCCTCTCTCTCTCCCTCTCCCTAAGGATTGAATGGTGACAAGCGCGATGGGAAAGGGGGGGGGGGAGAGAGAGATCGCGTCCACACCGCAGATCTTGAGAAAGTTTCACATGTAACCAAACCTGATGCTTCCAACGAGCTGAATCACACAGCACCGCCAGCCACAGAGTTCGGCGGCGAAAGCCAGGACTTGCCCTTAATGGGAACCATCTGCTGTTCAAACATGGAAGGACGGCCGCTTATTATTTCAAGAAAAAGCACGGGGAAAGGAGCGGCGGTCGCTCTACTGAAACACCACCGGGCCGGGGGTGGGGGGGGGAAGAGAGAAAACGAGTCCTCTTTACCCTTTTCCTGCCTGCCTCCCAGCGGTCCCGAAGCCCCGAACTTCCTTCCAGCGAAACCGACGAGCGCGGGGGGCACCGACTTGAAGGCGTCCTCGGAATGGAAAGCGGCGAGCGGATAGCTTCCCGAGAGAGGCTGGGCTGTTTGTTTGCTCGGCGGATCAGCAAATCAGGAATCCCGGGAGGGGTTTTCGAGGCTTTCAACAGGTGGAGCCACCCTTTTGTCAAAAGGAGGGACCGAGAACGGAGGGGGGGAGGAAAACTTACCCAAGTTGGAAGGCTTGAGGAGGAGCCGGGCGCGCCTTTGTGTGCGCGGCTCTCTTTTCGGGTTGCAGGCGCTGCCGCCGCCGCCGCCGCCCGGCACTGGAGCCGCGCTCTCCCGACCGGCTGCGCCTCAACCGAGCAGCTCCCGGAGGCAGCTCCAAAGACCGGCAGGAGTCGCCGCGCTCAACGGGCTGCCCATGCTGTGAGGAGGCAGCAACCTCGCCGGCTGCCGTCGCTGGAAGCCAGACAGCCGCCTCCAACAAGTCGGACCGAAAGCGGCGCCTTCCGCGAAAGAAGAGGGGGGGAAAGGCAAGGCGGGCGGGAATGAGGCACGCCGCCAGGGAGAGCGAGGGGCTCGTCACATGATGCGCCGGAGCGCCCGCCTCTGCTCGCGCCCTCCTGCCAGCCCCGCCGCGGGAAAGGAGGAAAACAGCCCGTAGCAGACACACCTGAAGAGGCTGCTGCCCATATCCGTCGCCCGCACAAAGCCAGACAGGAAATGGAGGGACCAGGCCGGGGAGAGGGGGGGTGGGTGGGAGGCGGAGGGGGGCCAAGAAATAACAAAGCCGAGCTGGCAGCTTGGGAAAGAGGGAAAGCTCCCCGCCCGCCCTCTAGCGCCCGACGCCTCCGTGGAAAGTCGGTAGCCGCGACTAGAAATCTCCGGATTAAAAGAAAAAAGGCACGGAGCGCGCGCCGGGAATGGGGAGGGCGGTCTTCGCTTCTCCCTCTCCGCTTCGTTGGGCTTCTCTGCCCCACCGCTCAGGCTTCGGCTTGCTGGCGCCAGGACGCGCCGCTGTTTGGAAGGAGGTTGGGCCCGGTTTGGCTCCGGAACCTGAATTGGGACCTGTAGGGCCTCGGGAGTTTGCGTCTGACCTGGCGGCTGGGTTAAAGAGCTTTCCTCCCCTCTCTCTCTCTAAGCGGCCGGTTGAAGAAAGGCCATTAAACGCGCGCCTTTCTTTCTCCTAAGCCGCATTGGTGGCTTGGGGAAAAAAAATTGGGAGTTTTCTCGCCCGCCCGCATTTCATGCAAAATATTGTATTTTTAAGTGTGACTTTCCTTCTTCTTTATACTTCCTAACAGCGCTGTAATTTTTTTTTTACTCCTATCAGTGGAAATTTGCAAAGGAATACACAGAAAATGTATGTCCATACATTATGAAGTTATAAGTTATTTACCACCATCACCTATAGGCTGTTCCCTTGCTCATTAATGACTTTTTATTCCTGGGTGTGAAGACCTGTATCTGCAAAAAAAAACAATAAAAAACCCTGGAGATCTACCATTGTTTTAAAAAAATAATAATAAAGACTTCATCAGATCAATATCATTTCCTGGGAACCCAAGGAGCCACCCCTGTATCATTGTTTCCTTTGTTTCTTAGGTATTTCCCAGATCTGGGATTTCATTTCTTTGTGGTCCCCTTACTTACTACACTGATCCAATCCAGCTTATGTTTTCCAAGGTCAGCCAAGGTTGGCTAGTGGTGCCATCTACTGTGACATTTGCATACCTACCCAAGATTTTAAATTGGAATGCAATAGATTAGCAAAGAGTTAGAAAGTTTGTTATTTTGAGTGTTACATAAATTTCCACGCAACGTCTTTTTAGGAAAATAGAACAGATAAAAGTTGTCAGCATTTCCTGCTAATGGTAAAAACACTGGTCAGCTTTGAGGCATTTTGTTCCTATGCCATAACTGCAATGACTCTTGCTCTTCTGTACAAGGATAAGATTTCAGCTATTGTTGTCTTGTCTCTAAGCTTAGGTGTCTGCAAGCAACTAAATGACAATGAAATAACACAGCAGAAAACCTGTCTTGCATCTCAAGGTCATGACATTACAGTGCATATTTCAACACTTACCTCACCCTATAGCAGCTATGTATACAAAAGGTACATGCAGTATATTGACACACTTAGGAGTTGGCTGTGAGGAGAATTGTAACAAGTGAATTGAATGCACTGGGAATGGGTTATTTAAGAAATACATCTATTAGAAGAAGAGGCAAGGTGAAGAATGGATGAATGATGAATGAATGAGTGTGGATTGAATACAAACGTCTTAGCTGTACCAAAAATGGAGAAGTTGAGATGATTTGTTCATCTAGAAAGAACAAATGGGAGTTAAATAAGAGGTCCTTGATGCTCTCTGAGCTTGCTTGTTTTCTTGCAGACGTTTCATTACCCTAACTAGGTAACATCATCAGTAAAGAGTGCTATTTGCTGTTTATATTCTGGTGTGTTGCCTATCAGGGTGGATGAGGGTGGTTTTAGAGATTCTTTGGTTGGGCTTTTTAATGATGGCTCTGGCAATTTTATTGATTGAGGTATTGCTTACTTGATTGTTGGTCTAAAATTAACCTTGGAGAGTTAGATGTATTTGATTAGCAAATCAAATACATGAAAAGTGAGAGTTATTGGAGACAAAACTCAGAAAGTTGTGGTTTGATGGATCCTGGAGGAAAGAAAAGTGAGACATTTAAAGAATAAATTTGAGTAATATAATAGAATACATATAATCTATATAATTTCTGGGTGATTATATAGATTTCCTTATTAACATGAAACACCACCTGCTTACTCTGAAGTAAGTGCAGTGATTAGCGTGTCATCATAAAACAGCTAAATTCTAGTTCCATTTTCTTGGAAGTACTGGTATATCTTATTGAAATAAGTAGCACAATACTTATTTTCTTACACATGGATGCAGGTTGCTAGACTGTAATAATAATACTTACATGGCAAGCAGAATGCATTTCAAGCGTTCAAAATACATGCCATATATTATCACTGTAATATTTACAGTAGCCTTCAGTACTACAATGGGAAAATGTTTGGCAACTGGTTACTGCACTTTTAAGACCGGTTTAGCAACAGCTAAAAACTGCAGCAGTTGTGACAAAGATTCCAGGTGGTGGAGATAGGCTTTGTTTTGGAGAAAAAGATAATTCAGTGTGAATGCAGCAGCGTTTTACCTGGTTTCTGCCCCCAAACAGAGGGAAACCACACCTCTATTTCTGGATGGCATCCCCCAAGAATTCAAAGCCCCATTACTGGATCAGCCAAACAATGTCACAATAAGTTCGTTTATTTAATTAGTGTTGGAGATGGAGCACATCATGAATTAGATTGTGCTTAATAGCTTGCTTAAGGCTACTTACAGTGTTCACAGGGCACATGAGCCATGGTTGATTAATCATGGTTTGATTCAACAATTGGCTAGGTGGCATATCATGGCAGATCATTAATTGGCTTCCAATAGCAGACTTATCCCGACATCATGCACACCGTGGCTTAATCCACTGGGTCAATCTGTTCTATAAGGCAGTGACATGAGATCACCATTCTCAGGAGAGAAAAAACACGAAAAGACGCACAGAATTATGGCTAGACAATGGTCAGGATTTTAGCTTCATTCATAGGCCTGGCCCAGCGCTGTCTCCTGCCGCCACCCACTCGAGCGCCGTCTCTTTCAGGCTGGTCCATCTCGGCATGGTTGGCTTGCCAAGGGCAACTTAGTCTGTAGGAGTAACCGTTTGTCCCAGTCTATTTCTATTTCGCCATTCTCTTTCGCAAGAGCGGCGGCGCCAGCGGCGCCTGGGCTTTATTGCTCGGTTCCCACTCCTCCGGGGCTGCAGCCTGGCCCCAGAAGGACCGAAAGCAAAAGCAGTTCCCATGACCCGCCTGGTCACTTATGCTAGAGATTAACGCCCGGGAGCCATTTCCTAGAGACAGCCCTTTCGCTGTCCCTGCCCTTAGGGACGAGTGGCTGATTCTCCTTCCCGGCCCTTATGGGCGGGGGAAAGAACAAGGGAAAGTGATTCAAGACGAAGGAAGGAAACAGCACTTTCCCTGCCCTTGGCCTCCACCCCCCCCGGCGCCCTCGCCGCCCATTTCCTTTCCCTCCCCCTCTTCCCAAGCGCGATCTTCAGCAAATCACAGTGGGAGCGCAGGATCTCTTCTTCCCTTCCTGCCTCAGCATCTGTCGAGACGGCAGGGAGCGTCGAACCCATTCGCTGCTATCGCTGTAACCCCCCCTCCGGGGTCTGTCACCTTCAAGCCTCAGTCATCTTTCTCTGCTGTCACCATCATCTGTTTCCCCTGCTGCTTGATTTAAAAGAGACGAGGGGAAAACGGAACCTTCAGAACCAAACCCTTCGATATCGGGAGACGGGCTGTATGGTTTGATAGCCTAAGTGAAATGTTTTACTGTGTTGAATTAAAGAGAAATTAGCTGCTCAGAGAGAAAGCAGATTGGAAGGAAGGAAGGAAGGAAGGAAGGAAGGAAGGAAGGAAGGAAGGAAGGAAGGAAGGAAGTAAGTTATATCAATATCCTAATTAGACATGATTAAGGGGATTTAGATACAGGTAAGGATAGCAAACCTTAAATTCAATTAAATATGTGGTTTTTGTTGATAAGTGATCCAAGTGACTTAAACACCATCACCCTGCTAAACAAATAATTTCCTCAACACTGTCAAACTATTCACTAAGGCTGCATTACTATTACTATTAATCTTCTCATCGTTCCTATCTCCTCCCACTTATGACTGCATGACTGTAACTTTGTTGCTTGTATCCTTACGATTTATATTGATATTGTTTCCTGGTTACTTGTATCCTGTAACTATCATTAAGTGCTGTACCTTATGATTCTTGACAAATGTTTCTTGTCTTTTTATGTACACTCAGACCATATGCACCAAAGACAAATTCCTTGTGTGTCCAATCATACTTGGCCAATGAAGAATTCTATTCTATTCTATCCCATTCCATTCTATTCCAAAGGAGATGGTAACAATAAAATAAAGCTTCTACAGTTCTTGATTCAGTCACTTTATCTGATTTCATTTTCTTTTCATATACAAACACCACACTGGAAACTTTTTCTTAACTTGCATCATCACACCTGGGAATTCCTTGTTTACTTTGTAGTCTACAATTACTACTTTACCTTCATCCATTTATTTATCTTTTGCCAGAGACCATACCAAATTATAGGGAAAGGATCCATTCAAAACATGCTAAAATGTTGTTGGGAGTCACAAAGTCAGCAAGTCAGAGTCATTCTGAGACCTGAATACCACTCAAGATTAATTTAAAGCTGGAAGGAAAATTACAGATCACACTTATTGTCTTCAGGTAAATGTGAATGCTTCCATAAAGAATTTATACTCAGTGGAATTCATTACAAGTATATAGTTATTCATGAAAAACCTTCTTCCAATAGGACCATGTCAAACTATGCACACATGGCTTCTGAGAACCTATGTTGTTAGCCTAGCTGTACTCAAGGCAAACTACTCTGTACTCGAGTTCTTATAAGCCTTATGTAAAT